ATACCGAATGGGCTCATCGGATGAGGAGAGCAACCGATCACTGGATGAAAGGATGCCAAGTCGTAACGGGTGAGGAGGTGTTACAATTATTTCTTTTGGAACATTTTTACAATGGATTAGATCAACAGTGCAAGGAATAGCTTCGTGATCGTAGACCCACTACCCTCACAGAAACAGCTAGGTCGGCTGATGAACATTGTGATTCACGGTTACACGAAAGCAACAACTACCGACCAACAATTCATACCGAAAGCCGGGAGAACTACTGAACACCGTCCCGACCTGACTTCAGGGCTCCCGTGCCAGCAGGACCTACCAGGCACTACCACCCAATAGCCACACTGCCGAACGTCCGCGACCAACATGTTTTCGGTGCAAGCAACCAGGGATCTCATGGCGAATTGCCCTCTCAACAATCACCACCAAATCCACAGGATCGTCACCCCACTGAGGGACTGTGGGACAATGGAGCTACAATAACCGGTTCAAAGCCACTTGGTGTTGGAGCACAAGCGTTCAGAACAGACTGTGGTCGTTCGAGTGGCTGGGGGGATGTATACAAAATCCCGACCGCCAAGGTCCATCTGGATTGGGGGGCGGGAAAAGGGACTGTGAACGTGGGAATCATGGAAAATTTGCCAGCAGAGGTATTATTGGGAAACGATTTGGAACCTATGACATCTGCTTATGCCCCATCCTATACCCCCGATGCTCATCCGGTGACTACCCGAGCACAAGCCAGGAACCAGCCAGACCATTCACCAGTGCGGGAGCCACAGGTAAGACTCACTCCGACCCTGACTGCCCCATTAGATCCTGTAACGGATCACCTGGCACACCGACTGGGTACCTCCATTGAAGGATGCTCCTAGCGCTTCCTGAGGACTCCAAGCACTGCAGTAGACACCACAACCACCGAACTGGAGAAGCATGCAAATGCTCTCAAGTATATGAATGCTGTAAGCAGCTGAACAGGAAAAGCACACAATCAGCTTACACTCCTGGCAATCAGCATACAATCCAATTCCCCCAATAACGAGACAACACTTCGTTTTGAGGTCAAGCAGAACTGACTGTACTGGCACATACAGCCTCTTTTATTCCCAATCCACAAACTTAGTACTGCAAACAGGGTTTTACAGAACAACCAATAACACACGTACATTACAGAAAACCCTCCCAGCAATTATACACAAAATCCTCCCCTCTGCTTGTGATGTAATTATGGCACACAATGGGTTAACATAATTATCACAAGCAGCAAAAATACAGTATCATAAAACACATCACAGGGACCCCAAAACATGCAATAACCCCAAAGTATATCCTTGGAACCGGGGGATCTGGGTGAACCACATATCCAAAATTCACCCAGATCCATTCAGTACTTTGGAAGATACAGTTTAATGCAGATTCCACAGAACATATGCAGGCTAAATGAAAAACAATTACTGTATAATGTGTCCACTGTTGTATAGTCCAAAACCACTACACGATGTCTCTGTGCACCAAATACCGGCGAGATGGCACCGTGTTGAAAAGTCCAAACAGTGTCTGTGAGTTAAAATGGCCGCCATCCATTGTTCTCACCATGTGCTTCATCCATTGTTCTCACCATGTGCCTCTGATACATGAAATGATGGCCACCCAGTAACTCCACAGTATGTCCCCAGATGGTTCTTTAAGGGCCAGCAGCAGCACAACACAAATCCATTATGCCCAAATCATGTCTTTAAAGGGCAATACATCCCAGGGGCCATAGTCACATGGCAGGAGGCTGGCAATCAGTCTTCTCCAATGCCCAGTGGCGAGGTCGGTTTCGCCACATATCCCATACCCTGGGATACCCCAGCCACCTTTAAGAACGAGTCCAAATCTGACCCGACCTTACGAAAAGCACAGTGAAAAAGACTAATCTGGGGGGAGGGGGGCTAGATAACGAGACATTTGTATGGGAGAAAGGGAAACTGTACCATCTAACAGAGAAGAAGGGACAGCATAGGCGACAATTGGTAGTCCTGTATAAGTACAGAGAAGAGATACTAAGGATAGGGCATGATATTCCCTTAGCTGGCCACTTGGCTGTAACTTGCACCCTACACCGTATTACCCAAACCTTCTTCTGGCCTGGGGTACATGCGGACGTTAGGACACATTGCAACACATGAGATGTGTGTCAGCGGGTAGGGAGGAGAGGCAATCCTAAGGCACACCTAATGAATATGCCCATAATAGAGGAGCCATCCAGCCGGGTTGCTATCGATTTAGTGGGGCCCCTGGCTATCCCTTGTCCTTCCGGTAAACGTTATATTCTTACCGTAGTGGACTACACTACCAGGTATCCTGAAGCCGTGGCCCTATCTAACATCCAGGCAGACACTGTAGCTAATGCGTTGGTTCAGCTATTCTCTCGGGTTGGATTCCCCAAAGAAATCCTATCCAACAGGGGCACTCAGTTTACTGCCGAATTAACGCAGCAGCTATGGCATGTCTGCAAGGT